CGGTTAAAAACGCCTTACTATACATGGTCGTTTTTTCGGCTAAAAAAGCCTTACTATACATGGTCTTTTTTTTCGGCAAAAAACGCCTTACTATACACGGTCGTTTTTTTTGGCTAAAAACGCCTTACTATACATGGTCATTTTTTTCGACTAAAAACGCCTTACTATACATGGTTGGTTTTTTTCGTTTTTTTATGGCCAAAAACGCCTTACTATACATGGTCGTTTTTTTTAAGCTAAAATCGCCTTACTATACATGGTCGTTGTTTTGGGCAGTGTTTCAGCTAAAAGCGCCTTACTATACATGGTTGTTTTATTTCGGCTAAAAACGCCTTACGATACATGGTCACTTTTTTCGGCGAAAAACGCCTGACTATACATGGTCGTTTTTTTCAGTAAAAAACACCTTACTATACATGATAGTGTTTTCGGCTAAAAGTGCCTTCCTATACATCATTTTTTTGGGCGAAAATCGCCTTCCGAAACAGTTTATTTCCAGCTAAAAATGTCTATAAAAACGCCTTCCTATACATGGTCGTGTTTGCGGCAAAAAAAATGCCTTACTATAAATTACATGGTCGTATTTTTCGGCTAAAACGCCTTTCTATACATGGTTGTCTTTTGGGGCTAAAAACGCCTTACTGTAAATGATCGGTTTTTTTTTCCGGCTAAAAACGCCTTGCTATATACTGGTACATGGTCGTTTTGGGGGGATAAAAACACCTTTCTTTGCATGGTCACAAGAAAAAGCCTTGCTATATTTGCAAACTCTGCAGACGAAGGCCGAGACCGAGTTGCATCCCTCAACTATCACACAGTGCACTTAGCATTTCTTACAAATGTATATGTACATAAATATACATATACATACATGGAGTTGCATCCCTCAACTATCACACAGTGCACTTAGCATTTCTTACAAATGTATATGTACATATATATATATATATATATTTTTTTTTTTAAACAATTATATCTATTAAAAGCATAGGCGCTCTTCATTGCAGCATAATCAATTCATTATTGATCATATGCAAATGTATGATAACTAAAAATGATCAACCCAACATTTCCCCTTTTTATCCTACATTTGCTCATATCGTCACACAGAACGTTCCTGTCGGACTTTATTCAGTGGAGTCATGTTGTACATGTAAACATAGTAATACTCAGGGACTGGAAAGAAGGAGGTTATCACCAGATTAAAAATTAATCTGAAAACGAATCCAGGAAAAGATGGTTAAAAATCATCGACGACATTCTGATATTGAAGTGAAATCATGTCTCCATTAGCTGAGCCGTTTTACAGATCATAATCAATGCCATCCAAAAGTAACAGCAGAGGGTACATTCCATTCACTTTCGACGTGGTGGGCGCATTAGCCGTCGTGATGAATTGGATAAGCAGAGCCTTAATACGACCCTTGTGAGGAACAGATGGATGGTTTTTTTTTTGCTTACTTTATTGATCCTTGAAGGAAGTACACTTCCCCAGTTTGCTCCAGTGACAACAACAGTGCAAGACTGTACAAAAAAACATGAACAAAAAGCTAAAATGCACAGCAGGCAAATAAACAAACTTATTTAAATAACCATAGAAAATGAAGTATTATAAAATACATCCCTGTCGCGCTTAAAGCATGACAGCAACGCATGCCGCTGGATGCAAAATAAAGACATTGATGCCAATTATTACTGTTGCTGTGGGAGAAAATCGGAGCGCTTGAGTTTTCCCCCAAAACCTTAAGGCACGTATGATTGAAATCATCTCATGAATGAAATGGAAGTAAATGACCAAGTTGGTCACATTAAAATCCTTGTTGGAGAGAAGGTGAATCAAAAAAGTTGAAATGATTTAAATATTCGATAAAAAGCTGGCGCATCAGCAAGACCCCCCCCCCCTCTTCAGTTATTTGTTGTTTGCTGGTTTGCAGCAGAAGCGGTCGCCCCCTGCAGCTCTTGATTCCGTCGCTCGCACAAAATGGTCTGGATGTGCAACGTGAGCTGGAATAAAAGTATGGGAGGCATTCATTATTTCTCCACTCACTCATGATACCATTTGAACTTACTGATCGCTGCTCTTCAAGAACTTCGGCATAAAAGGCCTTTCTCCGTTCCAGCTCCTTTGTGTCAGTTTGTTTCCACTGCATGGCCTTCATCTTGATCAGTTCCAAGGGCGTTTGTGGATTCTGGCGTGACTGGAACAGAAGTGAGTACAGCTGTTTTGGAATATTGGTCATGAAAGAAGCACGGAGCATTCTTTACATGAGAAATTCAGGTGTGTTCCATCAAACTGCATACATTTATTTCCAATGGGACCAATCGCTTTCCAATTTGTCCTCCGTGATGTCAGCTTTTTTCCATCCCGATTGGTAAAATCCGTATCTTTGTGTGTGATGTATTTAAATTTAGTTTTTGTCATGTCATTCGATTCTACAGACAACATGGCACTCTTTCGTGCTGTTATAATGCACTTTTGTGTCGAGTATTGATGGTTTCCATTGCTGCTAAATGGAAAAAAAAAATTAATTACATTTTATATTTTCTTGAGCGAATTCTAACAAAAATCTTGACTATTAAAAAAAAAAAACAATGGGGAGATCTCATTGCATGGAAACATTGCAGAAAATAGCACTACCTTCATCTCATCAAATCAAAACATGGCCTACTAAATGTTTCGGCTGGCATTTATTGTCCTTAAAACGGATTATTTATCATCTTCATATTCTCTACCGGTTGGTTGAGGGGGTAGTTAAAGGGTTTTAAGAGGTGGAATAAATTGGGTGAAAGCACTGAACTGAAAGCACAGGTAGCATTTGCAAGACCCGCCATAGAATGTGATCAATGTCAGAAAGACATTTGTCAGCATTTTCCCCCAAAATATTTGTTAAGTGTAATTTGGATTGTACCAGATCACCATTCATGTTCCTTTCATGATTGACGAGAATTGCAATGACTCACCACATATTCCTGGTAATCCTGAAGGGGGTGTGACGTCATGGCCTGCACGGCCTGGAAGGCGGCGGCTAATTTTGCTCTGCTTTTGTTCAGCAAGTGCTGCGAGCACACGTGTCGTGTTCAGTCAAATGCAAAAGGTCACTGGCCGGAAGATGCAGCATATTTACCATCAGCTCTTCATTGGACTTCATGTTCAAGGTGTCCAGACTGATTTTCACTGGGGCACTGGCTGTGTGAGACTAACACAAAGACGCACTGGTATTAAAATGCGAAATGTGGAACTGTGGTAAGCTGCTGCTGGCTCGGTGTATGGCTCATTACCTCAGCCTGATACTCAGCCCAGGCATCTATGCGTTCTGCTTCAGTGAGCTCCTCCTCTTGTTTATGGTCCAGCAGAGACGCATGCTCGTGGTAGCTGACTATGTGGTCTTTGCACTTCTCCAGAAGCATTGCCAGAACCTGATCCTAACAAGGCATAAACGTTTCAAAATTATTTCGGAGTCAACAAAGCAAAACGACAACATTTCAGTTGTAAAATTGTTCACCTTTGGCAAGTCAGAGGTCTTCCGCTTTGTCGTCCTGGAATGAGGCTCGTCCAGCAAGTCCGGCTCAAATGTGTAAAGTTCCGTGAGCTCGGAGAGCGTGAAGTGTCTCTCGATCTGCTGCTGATCCACCACTCGGTAGGACAAAGATTGCTTCGTCACCTGCCGATCATAGATTTTCTCCTCCATTGTGCCCTACACGTCAACATACACACGACCAAAGACACATTACGGTGAACTGGATGGGGACCGACACTCGCTGGCAGTAGCGAAGGTTTGCCAAGAACTGATGCCACGTCCCCTTAAAGAGGTTTGCAATTGCATATAGATGCCACAAGATGGCGGCGGTGACAACACACCACCCCCATGTTACATCAACAATCGTACTGTATACTAACTGCTCCTGCAATACTAGACGGTCACTCCTGATTCTTATGGCAGGGGTTGTAATAAATGTTAGGTCGTGGTACATTTTTGGCTCTTTCATTATGTCATCATCACTGCTGCTCGGTCCATTGAGTTGTTAATCATCAATTCTTGTTGACCTTGAACAGCGATTGGCACGTGACCAGTGAGCTCACCTGCGCCAAGAAACGATACACGAACACCTGCTTGATCTGGCCGAAGCGGTACACTCTGTAGATGCTTTGAATGTCGCAGGAAGGATTCCACGAGGCGTCAAAGATGATCACCCGGTTCGCAGACACCAGGTTGATGCCCAGCGAGCCGGCCTTTGTCGAGATGAGAAACAACCGGCCGCTATCGGGGAGAGAAGATTTGCGTCACATTCGTCTCAGTATGTGTCAAATGTCACTGTGTAGTTTAGCGATATCATAAATGGAGAAAAAAAAAGAACTATACCGTGCATTAGTGATGCTGTTGAAACGATTAGCCCATTTTGTCCGTAATGCAGCAGTGGTCGAGCCATCCAGACGATAGTAATCCAAGTTTTTAATCCAGCTTCTCTCTATGTGAAAACAGGCGCCATATTTAGTGTAACTGTAGGTGCCAGTTGCAAATTTATAATGACCAAATCTTTTTCACTTCACAGGGGGAGTGCTGGATGTGACGCTGGTTTTTGTGACTCAAATTTGGGCTGACAACACAAAGCCAAAAAGTAATGGGCCCAAAAAGTTCTGGACTTGAAAAAGTTACGTTTAGGAGATTCCAAAGTTAATGTACCACTGAAAACGTTCCCAAAAATACATACCACCTTCCGATGAGTCCTTTCTTCTCCGGTGAGAAACTGTCAGGAAACTCTCAATCAAGTTCAAAGAGACCAGGGACTGACTGAAAACAAGTCTGAGTAAAGAAAAGAAAAAAAAGGTCTGTCTTTGCACTGCGGAGATGTGGGAGGAAAAATGGGAGAGGAAAAAAAAAAAGACGTACACTTTATCGTTCAAGGCTTCAGCCATCCTCAGGATCTCAAATAAGAGCACCAACTTGCCCGAGTGCTCCAGAATTTTGGCGTCATGTTGAGACAGCATATTTTTGAACCAGCACGGGCCTGAGAGGGTACAAGTACACACAGGGGACATGAGGAGGGTGTTTGCGAGCTGCTGTTGTCTCGACTCCGGCACTAAATCGCTCTCGGTACCTGTTGATGAGGAATCAGCAACATTTGTTGAAGCGTTTTGGTTTGGATCGTTGGTGGTGCTGTTGCTTGGTCCGCTACGGCAAACAAAAGGACTTTAGTGTTCTACAACACATCATTCATTTATTTATTTACCTTTCCATGAGTGGAGCGCCGGTATCGTTGTTCTTTTCCAAATGTTTCTATCATTTAAAAAAAAACAATTAAGAACAACATTGCATCAAAAATTGTGAGGTTTTGTGTTCTTACTCTGAGCTTTTTTTCTTTGGCCTTATAGCTGAGTTGAAGGCACCAAGGATGAGTCCAAACCCGGCTGAGGACCTGAAAATCCTTAAACAGGTTTGCGCCAATCTTCATTTTTGCCGTGCCGATAACGTTTCCCAAACCTGAGAAAACAGGCCTAAACTTAACCTCGATCATCGTTTCGACTGCAAAACAGGATAAACTAAAACCGTTTTATTGCCATAAGTTCATTTCTTGGGATGTTGTCGAAGAAAATATCTTAAATTAGCATCTTATGAATGACAATTAACCATCAATAATGATCCATAATCAGTTTCGGATCTTTTTTTTTTCCACCCCAATGCCCGTGTCCACTCACCACTGACGTGCTGCAGATAATGGTTGTACAATTTATACTGAAGTGGAGACACCCTGACTGCTACCACATACTCGTACTTGGGAGGCAGAAACTCAGTCAACTCGGAGTAATCTTTCCTCTGCAGGAAAAAAAAAAACAAAACAAAACAACGTGATTGCTGAGGCAACGGGGAAAGGATAAATCAAAACTAGATCTTACTTGCACGCATCCGCTCAGCATTGCATGGAGGACGTGTGCGCGCCTCTTCATGATTCGAACATCTCTGGGCGTGGAGTCGGCGCACTGGCCATTCTGGATGGGATTGACAAAGCGGTTTCGGAACTCTCCCAGTGAGCCCAGGAGGTTCTTTTTGATGAAGTTGACCATGCAGTGGTCTGTGGAGACGATATCAAAGGGATGCTTGTGGGACTGAGCAATGCGGTCTTCAATTTAAGTCTCAGATTTGCAAAGAAAATCGGATTTTCACTGATTTCCACGTATAGAAAAAGCAAATGACATTGAGATTATACAAAACAAGTTTGGCTTTTTTTTTCCCTTCAGAGATTTGCTTTGTTTCACCTGAACCTCAAAAAGATTAGAAACCTTTGTCCAGGATGTTTTCTCACAGCATTCAATGAATTCTTGTGTCCCTTTTGTCAAAATATGAATGCAAACGCGACCCTTAATAACAACAACACAAAACACAAAAATGAGCCTTCAATCTGCATGGATTGAGTAAGAGTAAACCCGCACTCCCTCTCAGCTTTGTCTTTTCTCCAAAACAAAATGCGTCTCCGACATTAAAGAAAAATCGTTCTAAGCAATAAACTTAAAATCTTGAAATGGATTCATTGTCGCATTCGTGTAACGGTGCAAACTTACACTCCACCAGATTGTTTTGCAACGGCGTGCCAGTTAGCACCACTCTCCGCCGCGTCTTGACAGCGCCCATGGCTTTGGAAATGTTGGAGTTGTCGTTGCGCAGAATGTGCCCCTCGTCGCATATCACAAAGTCTGGACCTGAAGATGTCCGAGAGGACAAAACACCCTCAGAAAACACGTTCCAAGTATCCTGAAAGATGCAAAGTACTCCACCTGGATCCACCAGTAGGTTTTTCAACTGCTGCTTTAACGCATGATCGTCCAGTTTGGGGGACAATGAGAGGTTTCTGTACATTTCGTAGCCTATAATCATCACGCCTCCGGTGGTGTGCCAGCTCTGCAGCGCGCAGAGTCGGTCAGCAAAATTCTTCATGGTGGCCAGCTCGGTGACCTGTCATGTATTAATATTTGGGAATATTAACCATACAAGGATGCATGTGCTCCTTTGCCAATTTACACGTGTGTCATCTCATACCTTCACGATATCTTTGCCTAACTGCTTCTGCCATTTGTTGAATTCGCTCACCCAGTTGAGCACAGTGTTGAGAGGACACACGACCAAGGCCGTTTTAAAGTGCAAGTTTTTCGACTGCAATACCGTGTGCAGGAAGGCAACCACCTAAAAAAAAAAAAAAAACCTGATATGAACCAACCTGTGGATTTTGTGAACCGTTTTTTTTTTTTTTTTTTACTTTACAATCAATGGCTCGATACCTGCAGAGTCTTTCCCAGGCCCATACAATGAGCCAGGATGCAACCTGATCCTGGACAGGAGTTGGCCTTCGTCACTGACTCACAGCAGTTGTCCCAAATGAACTGGACTCCTGTTGATGAGGACCGGGAGAAACAAAAGGATTTTCGGAGTCAATGCAGTTGGAACACCTGACATGAGTAATGCTTCAAGAGACATCTAATCAGCTGTTATTTCACCTACCATGTGTTTTGGTTGGGTACGCAAATGTATCAGGGGGTTCGCACACGTTCACATTTCATTGTAGCTTGTATTATCGTTGTTTTTAAAGGAAATTGGCATTGACCGACCTCAATACACGGAGCCTCGGCTTCAATAAATCTTCCTGGAAGATATAAAATGGGCCACAAGAGGGCGTTGATTACCTCATTTCTTTCAAGTTACCTCCATCCATCCATTTTTTTTTTTAATGGTAATTTCCTTATCCTCACAAGGGTGGCGGGTGTGCTGGAGCCCATCCCAGCTGTCTTCGGGCAGTAGGCGGAGGACACCCTGAACTGGTTGCCAGTCAATCGCAAGGCACACATAGATTTGAGCTTACGTTCACACCTTGGGACAATTTAGAATGTTCCATTAACCTGCCATGCATTTTTTTGGAATGCGGGAGGAAACCGGAGTACCCGAAGAAAACCCACACAGGCACGGGGAGAACATGCAAACTCCACATCCTGCACCTCTGCACTGTGACGCGGACGTGCTAACCAATTGGCAACCGTGTAAGTCTAACAATATACAGACCAACGATTTAAATGTGCGCACAAGTGAGTGCCGTGCACTCACCGTCCACTTGGTGAGGCTTGAGATTCATCACGAGGTTCCTGTGCACCTGAACTAGAGGTGTCTTGGTCTGCTCATCCTGATCCAGAATCAGCTTGGTGGTGACAGACTCTTGAGACATATCGACGATTGTCTGGAACGCAACATAGGAGTCAGTCGTGACTGCAATGAAAATGGATTGTCTGTGTTTATAGTGGTGTGTGCAGTACCTCTCGTCGGTCCTCCATCAGCTGCTCCCTAATTGCCAGTCGTTTGCATCGCTCCTCCTCCTCTCGCAGCGCTTCCTGGGTCTCAGACCGGAGATTGTCATCTTGGATGATTCTGCGGATTTTTTTGCGTCCTTTGGGCGTGCCTGGAGCGTTGCTAAGATCACCTTCAGCCGTCTCTTGCTCACTCTACTCCAATGTAAAGAAGTCATGTAGGACATCAAACTACTTCTTGCCAGTGATGGTGACCGGTCATCGCTACAGTTACCTCCTCACTGGTGTCAGACAACAAAATGCAGGTGATCGCGGTCTTGCTAACAAACGGAAGGGACTCCTCCTTGACTTTAGGGGGTGAACTGGAACAAGAAAATGACACGGGATACACATATACGGTTCCGACCATTTCTTCTTACCGCAAAAGATATTGAGCAACGGTTGGGAATCCTTTGCCAAAGGTGCAAAGCAAAAGTTGTGAATAACGTACATCTGATGCCTATTTTTATTTTCACTAATTTAGATTTTTTTTTTTTTAATAATTCTCATTATAAGAGGGTTGTGTGCAGAATTGTGAGAGGAAAACTTGAACTTTGTTCATTATTCGATAAGGCTGTGACCACAAAAAGTGGAAAAACCAACTCAATAATAGCACTAAACTTCTGCAGAGTACAGAATGTTCAGCTGTTGATCAAATATTCTTGTGTCCTGTTCAAAAAAAAAAGAAAAAGTGGATCCCCCCCCCCCCATTTCTTTTTATACCTTTCTAGCTTCTCTTCCTCCTCTGACTCACTCAGCTCCTCACTCACTCCAAATTCTTCCAGCTCCGATGAGCTATTATCAGTAACTCCGCTCTCATCATCAGCTGGACATAAAGCAGCGTCACGTTAAGAAAAATTCCAAGACGACACGCAAAGGCAGCACTCCACGTGTGAGGTGTCCTTACTGCTCAGATCCTTGGGGGTGACTCTCCTCTTCTTGTCTGCCTTTCCTGCTTCATTCCCCAATGCTGCCTTGTTACTTCCTGTGCTCTCATCCAAGGTGAGTTTGTGGCGCAGCAAGTGGTGCTGCCTCAAGTTGGGCCCCCCGGTGCCAGCGTCAGAAGACGACAAGTTTTCCCCTGTGGCAGACATTCGAATGACTACGTAACCAACGGGGAGTTCTTGGACTCCCAAGTAGACATCACTTTCAACAAAACCTACGTGACTTGCGCTTCTTCGGAAGATATGCACAAGACCGTTTTTTTTTTTTTTACGGGGCACACTCACCGTCGTCCTCTTGTCCACATTCTTCACTGGATTGGTTAAATTCCCTTTCAGGCTCAGAAGAAGACTCGGCATCCCGTGTTTCCTCATCTGACGATAACTCATCGAGCGATGAGATGTTGGCATTGATTTGGGCCAAAAGTATTTTCTTAGCGATTCTTTTAAAAAGTAGAAGAGAAGGACAAGGTACCTCAAATTCATTTCATGATCAGTAACATCAGCTTCAGCTGGAAAATTCAATAAGACATGGCTATATAAATACTGCAAGGCAGAAAGTATCTCAATTCGAGTCAGTAAGACCGGTTATTCATAAGGGGCCCCCGGACAAAGCTGAAGTAAGTGTGTGAAAGTCAAACATCAATCAAAACAAGAATTCAAAGCTGCAAAGGAGAACTTGCTGACACAGAGATAGTTCGACAAGTGAAACAGCAGAAAAAGACGGATCAGACGTTTTAAAGAGCCAACATTTATTAGAGCAAGCAAGTTGTATGCACAGATGCCACCAAAACACAAAGACATGTTCTTAAAGTAGGCCCATGTAGGAGCAGGATTTTTTTTTTATTACATCATTACCTCTTGCATTTTTTTTAACCCTCATAATACACTATATTGACAAATGTATTGAGACACAAGGCAATTACACCTACAAGAGGGGGAAAAAAAAAGGCAAAAACTAGACTTGGTCTCCCGCCCCTTTTTAGCCATAAAGCTTCAACTACTCTGGGAAGACTTTTTACAAGATTGTGGCGTGTATATTAAACATGATATTTTCAGAAATTCATCCAGGATATTTGTGAGGTTAGAGGGTCACTGACCTCCGAGCTTCTGCTTTGCGCACATTCGGTGACAATTGAGTACACCGGCACCGTCCTCGGTTTTCCTCCCCGATCTAATTGGACAATCGTGAAATGCCGTTCAATATTTATGATGGCAAATTCTCGTGCGCGCATCCTGGAGCTACGACCTCGGCGTCAGGATCTTAAAATGTTCTGCAAAGCGCTTTGTTACAACAAGCACTGTTGAAAGGGCGAGATCGATAAAGATGTCTCCTATTACCAGATAAGCTAGCTGTTAGCCTAGCGTGAGCGATTTAGTCATCCTGTGCGCGGGGTCACATTTGGTACTGCGGCATCGACAAAATGGGGTCTCCATGTTGAAAATTAATATGCGTGTGTGTATCCCGTTTAGATTTGATTTGCAGTAGGATGATGCCTATTTTTATTTTCACTAATTTAGTTTTTTTTTTTTTAATAATTCTCATTATAAGAGGGTTGTGTGCAGAATTGTGAGAGGAAAACTTGAACTTTGTTCATTATTCGATAAGGCTGTGACCACAAAAAGTGGAAAAACCAACTCAATAATAGCACTAAACTTCTGCAGAGTACAGAATGTTCAGCTGTTGATCAAATATTCTTGTGTCCTGTTCAAAAAAAAAAGAAAAAGTGGATCCCCCCCCCCCCCTTTTTTTTTATACCTTTCTAGCTTCTCTTCCCCCTGACTCTCACTCAGCTCCTCACTCACTCCAAATTCTTCCAGCTCCGATGAGCTATTATCAGTAACTCCGCTCTCATCATCAGCTGGACATAAAGCAGCGTCACGTTAAGAAAAATTCCAAGACGACACGCAAAGGCAGCACTCCACGTGTGAGGTGTCCTTACTGCTCAGATCCTTGGGGGTGACTCTCCTCTTCTTGTCTGCCTTTCCTGCTTCATTCCCCAATGCTGCCTTGTTACTTCCTGTGCTCTCATCCAAGGTGAGTTTGTGGCGCAGCAAGTGGTGCTGCCTCAAGTTGGGCCCCCCGGTGCCAGCGTCAGAAGACGACAAGTTTTCCCCTGTGGCAGACATTCGAATGACTACGTAACCAACGGGGAGTTCTTGGACTCCCAAGTAGACATCACTTTCAACAAAACCTACGTGACTTGCGCTTCTTCGGAAGATATGCACAAGACCGTTTTTTTTTTTTTTACGGGGCACACTCACCGTCGTCCTCTTGTCCACATTCTTCACTGGATTGGTTAAATTCCCTTTCAGGCTCAGAAGAAGACTCGGCATCCCGTGTTTCCTCATCTGACGATAACTCATCGAGCGATGAGATGTTGGCATTGATTTGGGCCAAAAGTATTTTCTTAGCGATTCTTTTAAAAAGTAGAAGAGAAGGACAAGGTACCTCAAATTCATTTCATGATCAGTAACATCAGCTTCAGCTGGAAAATTCAATAAGACATGGCTATATAAATACTGCAAGGCAGAAAGTATCTCAATTCGAGTCAGTAAGACCGGTTATTCATAAGGGGCCCCCGGACAAAGCTGAAGTAAGTGTGTGAAAGTCAAACATCAATCAAAACAAGAATTCAAAGCTGCAAAGGAGAACTTGCTGACACAGAGATAGTTCGACAAGTGAAACAGCAGAAAAAGACGGATCAGACGTTTTAAAGAGCCAACATTTATTAGAGCAAGCAAGTTGTATGCACAGATGCCACCAAAACACAAAGACATGTTCTTAAAGTAGGCCCATGTAGGAGCAGGATTTTTTTTTTATTACATCATTACCTCTTGCATTTTTTTTAACCCTCATAATACACTATATTGACAAATGTATTGAGACACAAGGCAATTACACCTACAAGAGGGGGAAAAAAAAAGGCAAAAACTAGACTTGGTCTCCCGCCCCTTTTTAGCCATAAAGCTTCAACTACTCTGGGAAGACTTTTTACAAGATTGTGGCGTGTATATTAAACATGATATTTTCAGAAATTCATCCAGGATATTTGTGAGGTTAGAGGGTCACTGACCTCCGAGCTTCTGCTTTGCGCACATTCGGTGAACTAGGAATTGTCCCAGAATATCTTAAGATAAAGAATTAAGATTCAGGGGGAAAGAAGGGCCGAGGGCCAAGCCCTCATCATGAGTTCATTAGAAGGATACAACTACTGTATTTTGTTGATCACCAAATGTCCTCTGCTATCACATTTACAACTACCACATATAAATAAGGACTGTACACGGTAAGCCATGTAACATGGGATCTCTACACTATACAATGAAGCGGGATTCGCAAAATCACCATGTTTATATTTCACATTTGAAAATTGTTTAAAAAAAACAAAACAAAACAAAAAAAAACCGATGAGCTTGAAATGTAATGCATTATTTTTGCGATCAGTCCAGTGCTGTATTAAAGACAAATCAATCCAGAATGAAGCACGATGTGTGGTATTTCTTCCAGACTTGGTCTCAATTGTCCATCCCATGTCAAATCGCTCAGAAATCCAGATGCTCTCGCGCAAGCCCCTAATCTAAAAGTAGGTCATCGACATGAGTCACTAGAGGGAAGGGAGCAGCCATCTTCACTGAGACTGAATCCAACATGTTAAAAACCGCGAAGCGTCACAGTGTTTCAGCCATCAAGTTTGGGAGTGTTTAGTGGGCTGATTCCAAAAAAAGAGCACCAGTTGAAGTGTTTTACATGTTTTGGCCTCAGTAAGCACAAACAATGTGATCTTCACATTCTTGCTGACCATTTTACAAGCGAGTCAAACAATAAGTCACGTCACGTCATCCTTCCTAACAGCACTACATTCACTGCTGTGCTGTCAGAAAATCCGACCTGGAGAGAAAAACACGAGAAACAAACATGGGTGTCATTAAAAAAAGGACAGAATCGGAATTTGGGTGCTTATAATTGTTGTTTCACAGCCCACTCTCAATTCTCAGATGTACAACATTGTTATTTCTACTTGGAAGTACTGACCGGTGACATTTATTCGTAACACAAATTGTCTCCAACTTCAGAGAACTGCGACTGCGTTCTCTGCAGCGTGTCGCAATTGAAAGGCAGTCAAAAAGTCCTCCATTTCAAGAAGCTGTGCGTTAAGCTTTACAAAATGGTCAGCAGTAATGTTTATCTGTGCATAGAAAGTGGGGTAAAACATACAAAAATGCTAATATGACTTGGGGGGGGAAAAAAAAAAAAAAGGTTGAAACATGACTGGTGGCATATTGTGAGATCCGGATACAGTGTTCCAAAACCGTACGGTAACCACGGATTGCAATTACAGCAGCTCACTTGGCTCACTGGCACAACTGACTCTTTCCAGCTGCTTTGTTTTCTTTTTTTTCGTACATGGGGGGGGGCCCCCACAGGGAAAAGCCCTTCTGAGTCAAATGCCGGCTTCGGCTTCAACTGCGTGAGCCCGTATCACACCGCAGGGCTTGGGCTTGAACTCAGTTATACAACTCCGTTCATCTCTACGTAAAGCGACGTGGTGGCAAATATCTCAACACCTCAGCAGAACAAGGACTGCACGTGCGTGAATGAGACCAGATTGGATTTGCTTATCCAGAGCTCTCAACTCTATTAACAGGTATTACCGGTAATAATGCTGATCAATATTTCAAAATGACGGTAAGCGCGACTGTGGTACAAGAATTGAAATCCAAGATAGCCTCGGTACAGTAAGGGAAGAGCGTTGCTCTTCAAAATCTTGTCATGTTTAAATTGGTGCTTTTTCAAAATGTCCGGGGGTCATTCCACATCGGTACAAGATTGCAAGCAATTTTGAATGCCAACCCATCCACCCTGACCAAGAGGCGGAAATCAGAGGTCATTATGATACGCTTTTTGTTGCCAGTGCTCTGTTGCACTGGTTGTGACCTTTTTTGGTGGGGTGACAAAAGGCAGGCCGTTAAAATAAAGAGACTAAATACCAGTTTTTAAAGCATTATGTCACAATCATATTTATTGTTCATGAAGTTGGCAAATACCAGAGGCTTTATGCTGATTTGATGTGAAACTTTGCACGAATTAACAATCCAAAGCGTCAATCTGCATGCACCGCAAACCACATCTTTGACAAACAGATGTGATTTGTGTCTACAAAGAGTTGCATGAATCATCGTTGTTTTCAATGTAGGCAGATGGGGGGGCGGGGGGGTGGTCCCTCAGTTATTTATATGACAAGATTAGGTTTCACCACAAGAGATAGTAGGTTTTTCTATCCCAAAATAAAGTTTCGATACCAGTAATAAATGTTTCAACGCGGCTGTTCGACACAAATCAATGGAGAGGCAGCTTAGGTCAAATAGGTTACCGGTATGTTTCTGGCCACGTTTAAAGAGGGCCGGTCAAAGGAAAATACATTTAATGTTTTAAAGGAAAATCAGTACGGGGGGACAGCAACCTAAAGTGGATTTTCAGACGTATGCACAGCATTCAGCAGCCAAAGTAACACAACCACCAGCCCCCAGATTAATTAGTGATGTTATTTTTTTTTCTGTCTTAGATGAAGGAACCTCTCACCTTCTCCGCTCTAAACGACCTTGTTTAGTTCCCCCACGAACAAGGGCACGCAAGAGACACACAGCGAAGCGATATTCGATACGCGCCTGATCAGTGGTTACTTGGTCTGCCCAACACACAAATTCGTCCGTGCATTCCTCACTTTATTGTCCTTTTCGTACTGCACTTGTTTTCTATTCTGCACAAGAACAATATCACCGTGGAGCAAGTTCGCCCATATTTTGAAGCGCTTGCCAACCAGAAAGTAACAGGAAGGTGTTTCCTGTTAGTTGGACCATCGCTTTTAGCACTCTGATATCACTCCGCCATCTCCTCTCCTATTGGATGCGCCTTTTGGCATCACGGTGGCACTGCTCTCAAATGTAAAAATTCTTACATATAAATAGCACATATAAAAATGTGGATTAAATATGGGTTCCAAGCCAAAAAAAAAACTACGAGTTCAGATATGGGGATATCAAAGACAAACGGTTGCTTTTTTTGGGACTGCAGTGTCGACATTGGAGACGTCAGGGGCCTCCATGTTTGGGTTTACAGAAAACCCACACGCGCTGAGCAATATTTTTTGACTCACATCACCCACTGGAACACAAAGTGGGTATTACTGGAACCTAAAGTCTCAGACTGATCATGTTCCTACCAGCCCAGTGGCCAAAGACAAAGAACTGAGGCACCTGAGGCAGGCCCTCAAAACCTGTGGCTATGACCAGAAAGTCATTTCTAAAAAGTGTATCGAGTTCCACAAGGAACAAGCGCAAGGTGGATGAAGAAGAAAAGAATGAAACGTCTTCTAAGACAACCTGAACAGTCCAGTTTACAGGAGAGGCAATGCTTGGAGAATGAAATTAACTGGACGAATGAAAATATTCACAGGCATCTTTATTCAGTAATATATTTTGAAATTTGATATGTATTAACCTAAAATTAAACACTAACAACGGTGATTTATGATTCAGTGCGTGATCGAAAATCAGAATCATGAAGGTGAAGCATTTTCGTTTGATTCTTGCCAATTATTCCACACAACAAGCATGTTGTTAACATTTCAAGAGATTTTTTTCAATAAATGGATAAAAATAGGCTCTCCTTTTTTTTTTAAGACATCCAACAACATCAAAAATCAGAAAGGCAAGATTTAAACGGAATACTTCACCTTTGAAAGTATGTCACATTTGCATCAGTTCAAAATGCTGCACACAACTTTGTAGCAGGCTTGACTTATTGACCTGGTTAAAATAGTTTTCACAGCATATGAACCTGTCTGTCATACATGAACACGTTGGAATATCAGGCAACAAACAGTTCCTCTTTTTGGACATTGAGCTACAAGCTTCTTGCTTATCTGCCTGGAGCAATCAATGTACAGTAATCCCTCATTTATCGCGGGGGTTACGTTCCAAAAAGAACCAGTGATAAGTGAAATCCGTGAAGAAGGATTTATAAAAAAAAAAAAACAAAATGAAAAAAAAAAAAAAAGCCAAAAAATGTGAGAGGAACGAAATTTCAAATCCAGGCCAGCGATCCCGCTGCGTGCAGCCGACGTGCTAATGATTGGACAATTAAGGATGGAAGAGACACTAAGACACTGCGTCTTTTTTGTTTATAAGCCTCCTCTCTCTCTCTCTCTCTCTCTCTCTCTCTCTCTCTCTCTCTCTCTCTAACATTTATTTTGTGCAATGAAACACTTTATTCCTCCCCCCAATCTTGCTGTGGTAGACTCCAAATTTCCCCAGTGTGGGACAAATAAGGTTATCTTATCTTAACTCTGTGTCTCTCTCTCTCTCAGCCACACACATACACCCACACACACACACCCGCGCACACCCACGTGCCTCACGTGGGCGTTCGCTGGGTGAGCAGAGCGCACTAACACACACACACACACAGATGAAAGTGGACTTTCCTGAAAATTCCGGGAAAATCCGGAGGACTTTCATCACTGCACAGACGCACGCACGCGCACACGCACACGCACACGCACACACACACACACACACACACATAAGCACGCATCGTAAACAACACTTAGACACGATCAAAGATCAAAGAGTAACCCAGACACACACACACACACACACACACACAAGCACGCATCGTAAAACAACACTTAGACACCAATCAAAGATCAAAGAGTAACCCACTGATAAGACAGAGAAGGGAGGGGTGCTGGGCGGGGCC